CTGAGTAGCCTAATACTAATAAAATTTAAAAAAAATATTAAAGAAGGAAAATTTGAACTAAAGTAACTAGAATTTAATCATGGCGCTCCTTCTTGTTGCTCAAAGATCCTGTCGTACTTTGTATTTTTATTTCACTTTTAATATTTTTATACTTCGTATATCTAATTAAAAAATTGTTGTTTGTACAAGTATTTTAATTTCACTTTATTAAAGATTTATTAACGGTGTCATGTCATGACTGTGTTTAGTCTACATTTCTTTTTATGACTGTGTTTTTGACTGTCTTTCATCTTTCCTCTTATTTATATATAGAAATTTAAAATTCCTTAACGAGACAATTTAAACAATAAACTTTCTTATGGACTAATAAAAGACTTTCCTCATGGGAAATTTCGCTTAAGAGTCCAAGTTACTAGAGAAAAAAAGTTTTAATTTCAGTTCATTTTCAGGTGTAATAGTTACATCTCAAAGAAAGAAGAGGAAAAAATAAATATTTCACTCGAATTTGAACTTTAGGTGACTAGTTTTGTTATTATATTCGTTTTATAAAAATAAGTCGCCACTTATGAAGTCACGTACATGTAAAGAAGCATGCAGTTCCATCACTTCTTCCAAATAATATATTTTACAAATATTCATAGAAAATACCGCCTGAAATTATGGAAGAGTAAGAAGAATGCTTTTTTGATTATGCATTATGTTACTCTATGTTGCTTCTAGCAGTTCAGCCTCTGAGTTCATGTACGTATGCAAGTATGAACATGAAATGAAACATCAGAAAAGTAACATTCTAAAAACATTAATTATTATTAAAAATGAAGCACTAAAATAGCTTTTACTGATATGCAGCTTATCTCTTAGTCTAGTTTTCTGATATCTTCCAGCAAAATGTCAGTCCACCTGGTGCTAGATGGCCTGGTGTTAGAGTGTAATTATCCATATTTGAAAAATTGCCTCCATAACTTTGCGTTGTTTCCTGGCGAGAGATCAGCAGTTATGTATTTTACATGCGCTTAGTGATATCGATTTCTATCGCAGGAAAAGTCCAGTTCAAGCTGTGGTAGGCCAAAGAATTCTATTTCACTGTCGCCTATTGTGTAATTTTGTGTAGAAAATTGATACTGAAGCAGGCCATTTTCCAGATATAATACTGATAAGAAAATTTGGAGGTGCTCACACCTCATTATGTGTTTCATATGTTTTCAAGCGTAAGAGAGCTTTAAACAGTTAAAGGTAAGCCGCATCAAGTGTTTTACTGTGCACAATGCCATCTTCGAGTGCTGAGCATATCGCATTAGACAACCCAAAAGCGAATTATGCTATGGGCTTTATGAAGCTGAAATCTCAATTCATTTTGACTAACACGAAAGTTCATGCAAGATTCTACCAGACCTTTCAAAGCATTAAACCATGTGAATTTCAAGATGGTAGAACATTCTGCTTTGTAGCCTAAATCTCCGACTATCTTCTCTTTCGACCACTCAGAGATGCTTTATGAAGTTATAATGCTCCTCACTACTTTTCTATATTAAGTAGCGACTTATAGCTGATTTTGAGTATTTACGACAGAGTCTGGAGAATGGTTGAAACACCCTTTTATTCACTCCAAAAAATAATAACAGATGGCCGCTTTCGGGCTTACAAGAAAGCCTGCACTCGTGCTTTTAAATCAGGATAAGAAAATAGGAAATTAATGTAATACTGAACTAAACAGACTTAGCCGAAGTTAGGAACAGATACCTAACGTAGTTGGCCCTTAATTTAACCTAGCAGGCGATTATCAACAGGCACGTACAATACTGCCGAGTGCAGTTGATTTAAGAACGAAGTAGCCAGATAGAAAAAGGCGCCACTAAAGACTTTGAAGCACTGTCTCTTGAAGTAAGTTGAACCTTCCTTAAATACCCCTTTTTAGCTCATTTGATTAAGATTCATTTGTATAAAACACGATACTAAAAACTCATTCTGGTAGGGAATAGTAGATCAGAAACGAGAATAGAAGTAAAGCATGTTTAAACTTCAAAATAAACTGTTAGAAACTTAAAGTAACCTCTACAAAGTGACAGATTTTTCTAAGGACAGAGGAAAAAATTTGCATATCACGTTGAGCACCCAACCTAAAGATTTCGATGGAATATGCAAGCTTATGGATCATTAGATCGTATGCCTTCAAAAAGAAAGAGAATATCTAGAGGAACCACATAAATGCGTCAAAAAGCTTAGTTTTATGTACATAAATTAGAAAAGCAAGTGTTCAGAAAACTGTAGACTTTCCTTCTTGTATATAAAAAATTATATTGACATTATTTTGAATGCTGAGTATATCTATGTGTTTATATGTTACTATATAACCTCGAAGTCTGGTAAATCCTAAGTTTTACCGGTAAAACCTAGCTTTTTCCAAAATGGCTTGGGAAAAGTCCGAAGTATGCTTTAATATGATTCCATTTCGGGCTTTTACCAAGCCTTGGCGGTAAATCCTAGGAGTTACCCATGCCTTCCGTTAAGAGCCCGAAACGAGGGTTTATTTATGATAGGATTTTCCACTCGCGGATATATTGTATACATTGTGTCCCCAAAAGGTTAAAACACACTTTAATTTTTTAATTGATAATATAAATTATAAAAGTGATTAAAATAAGATAATATTTAAAATTATGTTAACGGAACTGTCTTACAATTATTTTTCAGAGTTACAAGAAATAAAAATAAAATGCGACATTTATGCCATTTCACAAATATGATCCCATGTGAAAAAGCTGAATTAATGCACAATTCTCTCGGTAACTACTGAAGAAATTTCAACAATTTTTGAAAATAATTTTGGCAATAGTTAAAAAAATTAAATTGGTAGCTAAGAAAAAATAAAAATTATGAAGTTTAAAAAAATAAGAAAATTGTAGTACATTTTTCTTTAATAATTCTTATTATCTGTTACAACGAGGTTGACTGTTGTGGCATTTTGAATTACGAAGTAGATCAGCTGATTTGCACAAACACATCGTCAAAGTACACTTCTTTAAACAGTTGCATTTTCTGAGTCCTTTTCTCCCAATTAAAGAAAGTTTTACTATTTCACGTACATGTATTTCTTCTGTACGAATTTCTTCGATGTTTAATTTTCATTGCAAAATGTCAACTGGTTTCTTATGTTCAACGATTTTAATTTACCAAACTTAGTACCAATGACATAAAACTCATCATCCTTAATATCTTAATAACGGCTATTACTGATTTTGGATCTATTTTTGGCCTATCAATATCAGGTAATTTTAACATTTTGTGCGAGAGTAGGTTTCGAAAGGTTTTTTAGTAGGCGCAGTCTTCATTTTCTTTGCCTGCTTCTCAAGTCCTTCCTTAACTGTCTTTCGAAACATTTTCACATTTTGAACTTTGTGTTGATAATCGCACCTGTTGTGTCAGAGTATATATCTTGTTCTTTTTTTTTTTTTTTTTTTTTTTTTTTTTTTTCAATTTTGAGCTCTTTTATTGTTCTTTGGCACACGCATTATTATTATCTTGCTATTCAAAATCAACTGTTAATACGAGATTAGTGCCTTCATCTTCTGTATTAACCATGCATCCATTATTAATATTTATAAGTTTTTCGAAGTTCCCTTCAGTGGCCATATTAACTTATCAAATTACGTGGCAAAACTGAGTTATTAAGTCCCAGCTACATAGGAAAACATAGCTTCGTAAGGTGAACATTTGATTCCTTCCTGATATGCTTTGTTTTTCATTGCTTGAACAAATTTTAATCCTTCCGATCAAGTTTCTGTCTTATTTGCTTCCATCCACGTTACCAACATGTTCTTAAAGTTCTGGTTCGCCCTTTCGACAGAACCTTGCTATTGACTGTGTCTCGGTTTATCATGAACTATTTTTAAATCACTCCACATTTCACATAAACTGTTTATGATTCGACAAAATTCTCTCCCGTTGACAGAATGGAGAATGTTCGGGGCTCCAAAAGTTAGGAAAATATCCAGAAGGTCATATGCTACTTCGTCAGTTCTTTTACTATGTAAACTTTGGAGTAGAACGAATTTTCTAAGATGATACACTAAAATGAATTTTATATCGCTATCAGGATTGGAATGCATATCTATTAGGTAGACTTGGCATCGAGAATTCATTTTGCTATACTCAATTGGTTTGATTACAACCCCTTTTTTCACAGCATTTTGTTTCTTCTGGCATGGTTCACATAGTCTCAAATATGTGACGATAGATTCTATTTTTACATTCTTGTACTTGCGATTCAGTTCTTTAATCATACGGGTTTTTCCACCATGGCGAACTCCGACATGAGTATCGTGTATAACGTTAAAGACTTGATCAATTGTAACAAAACACAGTATTTCTGCAGACAGTGGTGCTATAAGTTTGTCCTCTTTTTCTATATTTAGAATATCATAGCTTTCAACCTTCTACAATGAACTGTTTGTTTTTCTTTCACACACTATGCTTCTTTCACTTTATATATTAACGAAGCGTATTTCTCAATTATTAAATAAAAGGTGTTATCCTGCTTGTAAAATTTCGTAAAACTTTTTCCGCGAAACATCACTTATTTCCTTTCAGCAAAATAAAAAACGCAAAATATGTAAAATGGAAACAAACTGCTTCTGTTTTAGATCGTAACCGCTTACACTTGTTTGAATTCCCTCGAACCTAGTTTGCAAATGGCGCAAATAAGGAGGAGCCAGAACAGAAAAGTATCGCCACGGAAATTGCGTGCGCAGGCATATTGAAGATCGATTTAAACCCCTCGTTTCGGGCTTTTAACGGAAGGCATTGGTAACTTCTAGGATTTACCGCAAAGGCTTGGTAAAAGCCCGAAATGGAATCATATTAAAGCATACTTCGGACTTTTACCAAGCCACTTTGATAAAAGCTAGGTTTTACAGGTAAAACCTAGGATTTACTAGACTTCGGGCTCTTACAGTAACATATATACTTAAGTTTTACTGAAGTGTTCTGAAATTCCATTACAGCTAGTATATCAAGGAAGATAGGCTCGACATGCCTCCAAGTACATGGCAAAGGCGGCTTCCAAGCTGTATCAACTTGTTCCCCCAAAATGAATGAAATGGATGTCATCTGTAGTTCCAGTAGTTCTAGTACTTTACACCCGGTAACCAGTAGGATTTCTGGTGTGACATACGTTAATATCTTTTGTGCTCTTTGCAACGATGATTATGATTTACAGCATTGGAATGTCGAGTATAGGTAAGACAGTTTTTTGAAAACCTTTGATAAATTCCCCAGCTGTTGTATTATGTGTGCATAGTTTGTATTAAAAAGTTGTGCTTTACTGATTTCATTAATTTAATTTTGAAACGAAAACAATTACTTTATATAAAGCTAATCTGCCACAATATCTTCATTGGTTTACTTTTAGCTAATTGGTTAGTAGTGAATTTTAATTTAGTTAACTTTTAGTTAAAAAATATCTTCTGAATCCATTTTAAATCCTATTTTCAATCCGTTTTGAAAAAATATGATGTGTACACCATGTAACTTCCTTGTACGGAATATTAAATTATACGCAATTTTTCCTGCATTTCATTTAAACTTATTTCCTCGAATTTTGATTAACGATATACTTCTCATTCAATTATTTCAATTCCCACTTCGCGGCAAGGCAAAAAAAAGTACATAAAAACTCAAAATATTTGCATTAAAAATTTAAAGATATAGAAAAGCATAAAACACCAAATACAGTTAAAACAATTAAAAAATAACAAATTTTGCAATAAAAATTAGTTTCTTCGCAAACACAAGCAATTCGGTCAGCAAGCAAGAAGGCAGATTTTCAGTGCACAAAACTAAAAGCTTTCGTTTCATCCCACTCGACAAAAAGACACAGAAGGTGAAGAATGACTTACTTCACTATTCTACTAAGTTGCAAATGTAAACAAATATGGCTGCTATGGTAAAATAAAATTTAGGCTTAGAAGCACTTAAACAAATTTTAAATTGTTGATAATTCTACAAATATTGCATGCAGATTAACCAAAGGCATAAAAACCTTAACCGGAATATAAGAACAACGTAATTCAATGACTTTTAAAGCAAAAAATGTACAATTTACCAACATATAAGAATAAAGAAAACTGAGCTCACTGAGCCGAGTAACAGAGTGTGTATATATTTATATCTATATATATGTAGTATTTTAATTGCGTAGGAGGAATCCAGTACTTTTAACTTGCGGCTGTAGACATGATTGAGAGCAGTAGCTGAGTAGTAGCAGTAGTGGCTGAGGGTAAAGGCGTGATGACGCATTTAACACAGTCAAGCTTGAAGTATCACAATCTTTATTTTCACGCGTATCAAATTATCTTGGTAGACATTTATTCAACTATAGTTAAATACGATAAATTTTTTGTAGCCTGGTTTATGAAAGTACGACGTAAGCATCTTAGACGGGAAGCATAAGCTGTGCAGAATTGTTTTGCACACTAGAAGTTAGAGAAAGGAATGAAGTAGTTCCTTGCGAAGAGTATTTATACTAAGTATGATGCATTAAGTACAGATAATCAGTGATTGGTTAATTAGAGGTTGTTATGTAACATGGAAAGATTCGAATTTGGGAGAACAGATGAATTCAGGGGAGAGAACACCAAATTTATAATAGCTAATTTTGAGTTCGCCAATTATTTTTTAGAGCAGCCATCGTATTTGTCATATCTTACACACACATATATATATTGTATATAACTTTGGTGCGGCCGATTGCAACCGAAAAGGGAGGTGCACAACTGCATGTTATAGTAGTCCTATATACAAAATTTCAATGTTCTGAGGTTACTTGTTTTTGAGTTATGCGTGATACATGCAGACGCCACGAAAAATTCTCTTCATAATTTATTTTAAATCAGTTTTATAATTCATTTGGGGAAAAAGACTCTTTTATCCTTACGTTTTGTTGTTACTTATGCTCACTTCTCTGACAGCAACATCAGCCCAACCCCACGAAATTCCTCGGCGCAAGGAGCGCAAGAATATTCTTGTCGTTGGCAACAGCCTTGAGCACCATACAGGTGACAGTGCGATTATGCTCAGTTTTGCCCCCAAATTAATGGACAGCACCCCGGTGCGGTGGGTCCGAGGGTGTCATACAAAACCACAAGAGAAGACGTATCCCCGCATATTTAGAATGCCGCCATGCCGCACCGACACTATACATTTACAAACATCCATGCCTTCTTCGGGATTTGAACCCGGGCCCTTCGGCACGGCAGTCAGTGACGCTAACCACTATATCGGTTGGGAGACCTGTCCTTACGTACAGATGCTACGCAAAAACATCGTTAAATTGCATTCGGTAGCTGTCAAAATGGATATTTTCGTTGAAATATGGTATCCGGAATTTCTCGTAATTACAGTACTTCCTTTACCTCGTACAAGGAAGCAGAAATGGCCCATTCTCGCCTTTCGTTTTTATTATTCTAAACGTAAATGAAAAATACGGTGTTGCCAAACCGTGAAAAATAACTTTTAGGAAAATTACATTTACACAACCGTTGAACTGCTCGCGACAGTATAAAATGATTGTAGCTCTCTCCGAATCTAATAATGAATATAAATCTAATGAGAGTGACAGTATGTAAACTGTTCGCTAAGCGGCTCAATTACAATAATAGATACAGTAATACTGATAGATGGAGCGCGGTAGTCTCTTCAAGCGTATATATTTGATTCCAAAAATGGTTTGCAGCATTAGCCATGAGAAAGGCAAGAATACTCTGATATGCGTTTAATCTTCAGCTTATACTGCATTTAGGAAAATCATTATTTCGAATTACAATGCATAACACAGTGAAGTCTGGTGTTTTATTTTATAAATTTGGATAGATTACTTCATCTTGAAGATTTGCATTGCTTACAATTACACCCACCACTTTTAAAAATAAAACAGAATAAGTTTTATTAACTAATTATCATGAGTGAGGTTTTGATTAGTAATAATTTGATAATTTATGAAAATTATTAATGATATTTTATACCCTTTTCCACTATTCTGAGTTAAATATTAAAATTCGTAAATATTACGCTGAATATATTCAACTTTGAAATAGATGTGTACATGTAAAATTAGTGAATTGAAATAAACAGGTATTTTCTGATTATGTGCAATCTGGTTTCAACATTCGGTAGAACTGTTCCGTTTTTTGGTATAGTTTCAAGTATACACCATGGAGTTAAGAAATAGTTAGAGTTAGTTTCCTTCGTCCATAGTATACTCTCGACAACAGCACACTCCGCATGCGTGTGCATGGGGATTTGCGCCTTTGTATTTAACTAAACGGTTTCTTCTGGCTGTAAAAAATCTAAATTGGCCATATAGATTTTTATTTTTTCGCGTAAATTTTTTTTTCTCAAAAAAATTACAAACAGATTTATGTGTGTCTTTAAAATTATTTACAAACAGAATAAAACTTATAAGACTTAAGGTTAGCTAAACAAATGTTTCCTGTCAGTTTATAAAGACGTTGATGAACTGGAAATATTACGTAAGGCTGAGAATAAACAGAAAGTGCTAAGAAAGGTATGATTAATTAAATTTTATTTAAGCTTGGAATTTACCAAAAATTCTTTTAATTTTTAACACATATGTGTATTATATGGAATAAAATGACTTATATATTAGAGAGAGAGAGTTTAAGGTTTCTTTTTTTCAGTATTTATTAAATTAGTAGTATTATATATCTTTAACATATTTCGGTCATGTTAACGATGCAGCATAAAAAGAGACCTTAAAAAAATCATTCAATGTGTCATTGATGGTTAGATTTGAAATAACAATGTATACTTTGATATACGTAAACAAAAATTACAGGATAACTGCAAATGTGCTTTTTCCCTTTTCATGGCTGTTGCTAGTTTTTTAGCTGAAATCAGGCTTTATTTCGGAATGTAAACCTATTATTATTACCAGCCGTGTGCACGAGATATATATGTATATATATATATATATATACTAGAGGAAGTAACTGAAGCCAGTTAAGTTAGATTGAGAGCAATGCATCTAACAACACAGAGAACGATACCCCTGTAATCATAACGATGCAAAAAATACGATTCATAGTCATATATTTCTCAGTCTGATGCGATATGAAACCCAAATAGAAAGTTTCGATAGAAAAATAAGCTAATTCTATCTCATTATATCAGCAACAATGGCACGCAGTTTTTAATGATTTCGTCTTTCTAGTCAAATGGTCGTAAAGGCTCAACTTCCATCCATTATTTCACCTATATTCAATTTTAGTCTATTAAATGTGGCAAAACATTTGTCATAATTGATCAGAAATCAATAACGCGAACAAACAAACAGGCATTCTTCTTTATATACTCGTATATAGATTTTGTAAAATTTACAAATTTTTGATTAACAATTTCTACGATTTGAAAGTGAGCAGTAGCAACACTTTTCGAAATAAAGCATTCTTATCTCCAACGCGCGACACTGTTGCCACTCGGAAAAATGAGTGCGAAAATAAGCGCTTTCAGAGTTTTTAATTAATATTTCGGCTGATTAAAGTCGTACGAAGATGGGAATAAATTTTTTATTAACAAACTCTAGGATTTGAAAGCGAGCAGTGGCAACAACTGTCGAAATAAAGCAGGTTTTTGAACGGGCGGGCTAAATTCTAATGCCCCGTCTGGGCATACTCGTGCAAAAGTTTGAGAAGGCAGTTACAAGCTGCCCAAAACGGGGTATTTCGTATGATATGTAATGCCCCCTGGTACATTCGGAATAGCCAAATTCGTAAAGAGTTAAGAATAGAGGATCTTTGTGATTTTTATTGCCGCCTATCTAGGGCATTTTATGATAAACAGGAACTTCTGGACAATCCTGTGGTTGTTAACTATTGTTATGATACTAGGGACCCCAATTTCAGTAAGCGCCCAAGGGCGATCCTAAATGTTAGTAATGTGTAATTTTGTATATGTGTTATGCAAATTGTTGCTCAGATTCTTTATTGTATATTGTTCTTTTTTCCTCCTGATTGCTTTTTGTTTTTACTAGTGGCACTAAGGCGTCGCACTTCGTATTTTGTTTCTCTTGTGTGTACATGTATTCTTCTGTGAAATAGTTGTTAAAAAATAGTTAATTATGTATGGATTAGTAATTAGGTACTTAAGGAAAAAATATGTATTTAACTATTAGCAATTATGAATTTAAACTCTTGCTCATTTAATTATTTAGCACATTCAGT